GGATGATGGTGTTGAAAGCAGAGCTGAAATCCACAAACAGGATCCTGTGTAGGTTCCTGGGGAGTCCAGGTGCTGGAGGATGAAGTGAAGGGCCATGTTTACTGCATCACCTACAGACCTGTTGGCTCTGTTGGCGAACTGCAGGGAGTCCAGGTGGGTCTGTGATGGATTTTAGGTGGGACAACAAGGCGCTCAAAAGACTTCATTACCACAGAGGTCAGGGCGACGGTCTGTAGTCATTTAGTCCTGTGGTCCTTGGTTTCTTGGAGACAGGGATGATGGTTGAGGCTTTCAAGCCGGCTGGCATGTCTCCAGTGAGGTGTTAAAAATGTCTGTGAACACCATGTGTATACATCTAAGCCAAGTAGGTTAGCTGCAGCATTGATTTCTACTTCAGCTGCCCAGATATCATCAGATTGTATTCTGAACTTGTTTATATAATCCTTCAAGATGTGTACTGCCTGTCAATCAATGTGCTGAACAACAACACACTGCACTCCATGTTTTTCATGATAGCAGGCCTAAAGTTATGATGAAATATTGGTTTCCACACACAACGTGTGATATAGCTCGAAAAAGCATTTCTATCAGCATCATTTTGTCTGTTGTGTACGTTTCACCCTATGAACCTAATGATCTGAAGTTAAAAACATGCAGTACCTGCCACAGGTGATCTGGGACACCTCAGTGCCCATGAGCTCCAGCACTCGTCTGGGTAAAAGTTCGTCATTGGTGGAGCCATGGCCCAGCTGACCCCACGAGCCATCACCAAATGTAAACAAGCCGCCATCCTGCCAGAGACACAATACAGAATTCCTTTTTTGTTGTTTTAGACAGAGTTTCTTAGCATAGTAGTGCAGTCAGAACTAAAGTACTGTTTTTCCCCATGACCACAAGTAAAACCCACGTGTCCTGTGGTGGATTAAGATTAGTCAGGGTTGGGCAGTTTGGCTGGAATAGGATATCAGATTTTATCTGTGCAATGAAGGTCAACTTTGCAAAGGAATTTTCCTCCGGGACCTAAGTGGTAAAGGTAGTAGGTCCAGGTTATACATGTCCCAGACATGGAAACAGAACTACTCTCTCTAGTTCACACTGAAGTATTTCCCTGTGGGTGCATAATGACAACTGGGTAGGTCGTTGCCTAGTCCACCAAGGACAAGATATATGGTGATCTGCTTCAGTCTTAGATGTTTACAGTCTCATTAGAATGTAATACATGTGGACTCCTAATTCCAACATGACCTAGGTAAAGCACTAGAGTTCAGTTTGGTTTTGACACTACATAGTGTTATCACTTTGTACTGCTGTTGGCATTTTTCTTCTTAGCCGAGCTTCATTTAACAATGCTATGTAAGACATACCAAGTTTCCTGAAACCTTCATCTTCAATGAGGGTTGACCAGTTCACAAGAACTTTCTTTCACAACCTTGGTTGATGCTTTAGTAGTGAGTCACTATAAAGCTAGAATACTGATACCAAACTGGACTATTTAACAGTTGGTGGCGGAAGGAAGTGAAAATTACTGCTGTTGGAGGGGGGTTTATCTACATTCATACCTTGGTGAGGGCTGCTGTATGTTCTTCTCCACAACTGATGTGAACAACCTTCTGCGATCTCAAAATTTGATGTGGCATGGGACAGCACGGTCTGAGGAAGGGAACACAAACAAGAAAGATCACACTGTTCCCCAGTGCTACTAGTGTCATGTTTTTACAAATGAGTGGTAAGACATGGCAACTTCTGCATTTGAATCTAGTATTGTGGTGGCAATAAATCACTAACTTTGCTTTCCAATAGGTATTTGTAGGTTATCATGACAAGACAAAACATTTGCATGAAATGTTCCTATAGTAGTCTCTCCCACATATGGCCACCTAGAAACATTTTAACACACAGCGCTAAATAAAGTAGAACAGTATGGTATCATTGTTCCACAGAGACTTGTTTACAATTTCCAGTAATATGATTGTATACTGTATTTTCCATATAGGAACACTTCAATTAAAGATAGTCAGAACAACACTGTGTAGGTCATTGTATCTGTTGTTCATCTGTTGTGTTTGTTTATTTTCCTTATTAATAATTTACTATGTATTTAGCTATAAATAAATGCCCTTATTTATTCATTAGGAAGTGATTAATTACTCCAGTTTAAGGTTCCCTGTTTTCCATAAATGTGGTGGTGCCCCTTTGAACAAGTTTTATTAAAGTAGTTATTTGGCACAACTGTAAGTGAATTGTATTAAATCTACGCATGTATTATGTGTATATTATTACCTTGTTTTCATTGAGACCCAGCTGTCCAGCTTTGTTCTTGCCCCAACCAAATACAGCTCCGGACAAGGAGAGAGCGAAGCTGTGGTCTCCCCCGGCGGTTGTGCCAAAGGAATTCCCGCCAGAGACTTCAGGGATGAGGGAACAGCTTGCTAGGCTCTCCTTTCCCCAGACCGAGCTGACCGCTGGTGTTCTGGCCCCACGTGAACAGCTGGCCATCTGAGAGGAAACAGACAGAGAAGCAAACTAGTTAACTGTACATCTACACCAATTACCAATTACTGCCTGTACAGGCAAATATGCAACATTTTGCAAGCGCTGTTCTAACCGCATTCCTTAATGTCATTTCACTTTGATATCACTGATGTTGTTATTGTTGAATGTGATGTGTGGATGGGCAGCAGGTTGTAAAAATGAACATTAAATAGCGGCCGTATGAAGCGTCTCCCCAGTGACACTGTGCCCATTTACGCATGAGCCACAGCAACATAAATTAAGAATAAAAATTCTCCCGACACGCCGACTGGATCGGTCAAGATCTGATGTTAATTCCTGAGCTCCATCAGGGTGGATGATTTGTGCGTATAAGCCTATATAAGTTCCGTTAATGTCAGCCGATCCGCATATCACACCAATTCAGCTGCTATAATCGTGACAAAACAGCTGCTGAAGTCAAATTATTAGGCTGTAATATCAACCAGAGCATTCAGCACTGATCTGTTTCATGTTTTAATAGCCTAATAGTGCCCATGTAGTCTGCACGTAATTACAACAGTAGAGTCCTGTGATGACAGCTGTAATTGGGCTATATGAGATAAATGTTACTGTGTCATTTTGTAAAGGGTGCTGTAATCTGACTGTTTAACAGATGCTATTAATGTTTATTGGAACCTCGAGATGTTTATACGTGTTATAATGTTAAGAGACATGTCTGGATTGTGAAGAAATGATCTGAAGCCTTTAGTGCCAAAAGCTGGTCTGCTGCTCTGACAGAGATCACAGCTCAAAGCTGTGCAACAGGTCATATTTAAATGACGTCGCTTTAAAATGACGGCTCGAGGAAAGGACATCTCATTTTGTTAAATGCCCGTTGCCTCGACTCCTCTCTCCTCGCATCTCTTCCTTGACTCCTCAAGCTCGCATCTCGGGTGGGTGCGACTAACATGTCTAGAGTCGATGAGGTGAAAATTTGGGAAATGAGAAAGGCCCTCAGACTAGTGACACCTGTGTGTAATTAGTTTCTCCCCCACCTGTGTATTGAAGTGGTTGTCTGTCTTTCAGTGGTTGCCAGTTGTTTGTTTGAATGTAAGCTTCTTTCGACGGGAGGCTCTGTGTGTTTCTAGTTTAGTCTCTAGTTAGTCTCCTGTTAAGTTTCATGTCTCCCTGTTTCTTGTGGAATACTATTTCGCTTGGATTTTTGGACTTTGTTTTTACCTGCACTGTAAGTTTCACCGTTTGTGCAATAAATCACAGTAATCATCAGTACCATCTCTGTGTCTGCATTTGGGTCCACAAACTCTGTCTCCTGCGTTCAGCCCTGCCGGCTGAACGTAACATTAGTGTTCATAAGCTGATATAATTTCTTTCAATGTGCCTTTTTGTGGTGATTAAAAAAATATTTGATTATGAACTAATTACAGCTTGTACAGTATTTTTGTGGGGCATGTTTGCTTGACTGACAGGTGCCTCAGCCTAGCCCTGAACAGTGCTGCTGTGCAATGAAGAGACTGTGTCTTTCCCACCTCTAGATAGTGCAATGCAGTGCTGATTCCCACACATTACTTGAGAGATCCGGTGGTCACACAGCCTTTTGACCAACCTAGAAAAAACAAACATTTGTTTATCAGGACCAACAAATTTACGTAAATATAATAGAGGACAAACAACATAACATAAAAATTTTAACTTTTCTCAAACAAACAAAAAAATGTGTGACTAAGCTACTCAGTACTCAATCTAAGATTGCAAGTAAACCACAAATTACAGTAAATCCCATGTTTTCATCTTTTTATCAGCTAAGGTGCCATTTAATGCACCATGGTATCGGAGCTCAAAGATTGTCTTTGCCTTAAAGGTGGGGTATGCAATTCTAGAGAAATCCAATACATGATAAATACCATGATATAAAGTGAACAAGCTAAGTTGTGGGTTAGTAAACTGCTGCTGCGAAGCTAACATGCAGAGAGAACAAGACGGTTTCCCAGAGCCAGCACACCAGCTCCAGACAGCGATGCTCAACTCTCCTGCTACTATTGCTAACATCACAACATCAGCATATCTTGGCAAACTACAATGTAAGCTCAATGTCCATATGCAAGTCATTTAACATTACCTGACACACAAATCATGGCTGGAATAGTGTTGTGTGGCTCAATTTAAGCCACTTTGTTTGTTTCCCGATTACAGAGCCAGGGCTGTGTACAAACACACTGAACAGACAGCTAGTGGACCGTGAGGAGATATTCCCTGAATTGACATAAAGACGTGTATTGGATTACAACCGTATACCCAAACTTTAAATTAGTCTGTCATATTAAACTGAACTATAAGTACAGCCCTAAGACTACTTTACAATCATGAAGGTTTCACGATCCTACAGCAGGTAATTCACTGCATCTGAATAGTTAAACTACATTACACTCTAATTTTATGGGAACAGAAATAATTCTCATCATTATTTTGGATGCGTGAGTCCCTACAAATCGTCTGTTTTGACTGCTTGAGTACTGTTATGTAGTGCTCATGTCCCAACCTCCAATCTCTTCAAAGTCATTTTCTTGTAGTGTTTTTATCTCCTTTCAGGCTAAAAGATGAAATCGTTCCTTTATTGATGCCCCATAGGGCAAATTCAAAATGGCACAGCGGAATGTAAAAAGAAAGAACAAAATATAATAAGTTGAATCCGTAAACATCAGAATCAAGTCTATAAAATATATACACAATCAAAACAGAATCTGAAGAAGCTTGAATTCCTGTAAGGTGTGCTACTCAGTCACCTTGGGATTCGAACAGCCGCCTCTGCAGTCCCCAGGCCGAGCTGGCCCCCTTCACCAGCTCCCCAGGAAAACACTTGACCGTGCTCATTAACCGCCAGAGAATGGGCCCGACCACACGACACCATTGTGATCGTCTGAGTATCCAGAGCTCCCACTGGCTCTGTGGAGAGGAGGAAGAGCTCGTCAGACGTCTGCAGTTTCATGCCAAAAACACAAGTATGTACAGCCTTGATTTGAGAGTGCAGGTGCTGTAGATACTCCTTTCACAAATGGCATTATGGTCCCTTTAACTTTTCTGTTACGCACATGTCATACCAAGTGTAATATTCTGCTTATCAAAACTAAAATAATGTATGTTTCAGCTAGAGAATCCAAATGGTAACTTTCTTACTTTATCTAATCCTTCTGACAGCAAAAACAGGCATGTGCTGAATGTAATAACATAATAACACCTGAGATACAGAAGCTAGGAACGTATAATAATGTTACATACACAGAAAGAAATCTGAGTCATCCATACTTTCGACTGCACTGTGAAAATGGGTTTGTCTCCATCCAGTATGTCTCCTGCTGTTAATCTGGTTTATCATACAGTTAACTTGGTTAATGCTACAATTCCTTAGAAAAAGAACAAATACACAAATGTGTATGTGTTTTCAATTGAGCTTTAACTATAGTATGGCATTTAATCAGCAATCTTTATTTTGTAGGCTCATAAAAAAGTTATATTCATCTAACTAAACATACCTGATGAAGGCCTACTAATTAAAACATTATTAAATAAATTAATTACGGGTACTTATACAGTGTGTGGGATGTCATCAAGGCAGTTTCCAGACTGCATACTTGTCACCAAGGATTTTTATGTGTGAAAAAACTTGTCAAGGTCAATGTATTTGCTTGAGGAGTCGTGATTACATTTAATTATTAAAGCTTCACAATGGAGATAGACTGGTCTTAATATTATTTGTGAGAACAGATCAACAATCTTTGTGTAAAAAACACTTTCCAATATTTATGATCTCACAAAAAAGAAAATGGGTATGTGGCTAGTCATGCAATCTATTGTTCCCACTCAGAAATGGAGACACTTTGACAAAAACGTGTAGGCCTATTTATGATACTCTCTATTATACCAAGCAGGAAGCTTCCGGTCAGCAAACTGACGCGAACACGGAAGTCCCTTAAACCTGCATTCTATCGAACGGCCAGCAGGGGGCGACTCTTGTGGTTGCAAAAAGAAGTACGGTCCTATTAGAAATAATGGTAAAATGACTCTAATTCTCAGCTGATTTATTACCCCAGTAAACAAAGTAGACCATAAAGCAGAGTATGCTTCAGGGCGGGATTATCT